AAGAAATTAATATAGCCACTACAGTGACCATCAAAACAATGAAAAAATATTGCCGTAAACAGTTTATTTTGCGACACCACAAAACAAACGATAGCGTAAAATGAAACGATAGACGTTTTTATATCGTCATCCGATATATATTGTTATATCGAACAGCCCTACACACACATATAAAAAATAAGCCTATAATCGTATCTACAGTATTTACACAAATGCACATTTTTTAGTAGCTGTGCTTCTGTACGCTACCACAGTGGATTTGACAAAGAAAAAACCCCAAAGATGTCATTGAAGTTATGACTCTCGGCTTTAATTTTATACATACTACCCCAATTTTAAAGACGTATGTTCTGCTTGGCGTTTACTGCAGCTTCATTTGTTACTTGTTTGTGTGTCTTTGTTGCATTCAGTTGTGTATTTTATAATTGAAAAGCATGCTGCATTGGGTGGAACATTTATCAGATCTTCAATGGCCAAGTCAGTCAATCTAGTTTCTTTTCTTTGAGCAACTCTTGGGTTGCTTTTGCAGTATGCTTTGGGTCATTATCCATCTGATCAGAGATTTCTATCAAAAGTCTGCTAGTTCTATCAATACTTGTGTCATCAGGAAAAATAAGTGACCTGGTTTAATTGTTCTCATTTGCTTTAGTTGTCTCCCTTGGTCTTTCAAACCTCTTGGTGCTGCTGAGATGACCATTGCATTTCTTTTTTCCTAAGAATGTAACAGATTGTTGATTTGGCCATTGTTGTGGCCACATCATGTGTTTGCAATATCTCTGATGGGTTTATTTAGGTTTTTCAAGCTAATGATGACCTTTAATTACATTAATTGGACTTCATATTGAAAGTTCCAGCAAACTGCTACCATATGCAAATTCAACACTTAGAATCAGCTCCAGATCTTTTATCTGCTTAATTTGTTTTTAAGGGAACAGACCTCATGTGTATATGAAACTGTTTGCCAGTCAGTTGTCCGATTACTTTTGAGCTTCTGAAAATGAGTGATTATGCCTATGTATAAAAATGGTTGTGATTCTTAAACAGTTAATGTTATACTTTTGTAAACACTTTAGGCTAAAGCTGAAAGTGTGCATGTTGGCCTGTTATGATGTTTAATTTAAAATCCATTTTGGTGGTGTACAAAAATATATAAGAATATATACAAAATTGTTTCAAGTTGTTCTCAACTTAAGTAACCACTTCACTCTCTCAGCTCTCCTGCACTCCCTGCCCAGCTTTACTGCTTGACACATATGCACACTTATACAAGGCCTTCAGAAAAAATGGTTATGTATGTATGGAGCCTGAGAAATTAAGCATTCCACTTTGAGGAATATCATCTAAAAGTAGCATAGATTTCAAATGTCCCAATTTGTGCAGCATTAGTTGCTTTCGCAACTTCAGCCCAGGAGCAAACTTTCTGATGCAAGAAGGAGTCTCCAAGAACATGAAAAATGTATCACAGGATCTGCAGGTACATTAATTCCTGCAAAGTTGGTCTCAAATGTGCGTGTTTCTGCAACTGGGAAAAGACTATAAAAAAATTAACCTGCATTTATAAAAATTATATTAGAAAAAATCAAATGGTTAGGAAATTAAAACAAAGCCAAAGAGCTTTGAAATAATAACCTGTGGATAGATCAATCCAAGCTATAATGGCAGTTGATACTTGGGCACAAACCAAAGGCAGCCTTTTGGGATAATTTCATGGCAGTTGGGACACATGGTGGTGGAAATGCTGTAGTTTGGGCTTGTTTCACCGCCTCAGGGACTGGTCTTTGATCATCTATGAATTCTGCTTCATATCCAAAACTACTTGAAGATAATAGGCCATCTGTCTCCATGCTGAAGTTGAACAAGAAGTGGATAGGATAATGATTCTAAGCACACTTTCATATCCGCTAAGGAATAGTTTGAAAAGAAAAAAAGAAAGAAGGGTTATGGAACAGCCTAGTTAAAGCCCGAATTTGTTGAAAAGTTTTCTTTTCACTTCACTGTAAATTCTTAAAGTCAGAAATTGTTAAACAGAGAAATAACCTTTACATTATTCAGTTTTGGATGTCACAAATGTTCTGCAGCCCAAGCTATCCACTGGTGGTGAAAAATGAAAATAGTAATAGCTCGTATTACCTAGTATTTCTATGCTGTATGTGGCTGAAGTGCAAACATCAAAGAGTGTATGATTGATGGTTCATTGGAACATTTTTCATGTTGGTGTGACGGTCAGTCAGGATGTGACAGCGCCTTTGCCCCTTAGACTGTCTGATGTTAAGGCTGGCAGCACTGGTGCTTGACTGCTTGGAGACTTTGTATGAGGATATAGCTGCTCAGAGCCGTATACATTGTTGTATAGCAAAGTCCTGCCCCAAAGTTAAGAAAAACCTTTTTTGAAGTTACTTTGAAATTCCAGGAAATAGCAATTTATTTGCTTTTAACAAGTTCCTGATAATAATTTTGTCCACCTTTGGTTTAATTCTTCACATTTCTGCACAGATAGTGCAGCTCAGTTGTTTTTTTTAATCTGTTCTCCATCTTATTTCTTTTTCTGAGTTCCCTGGTGTTTGTTTCTCTGCCAAAATGAAAGCCTTGTTGTTCTCTTTATTGTTTTGTGTGTCTGTCTATCAGTAGAATTATATAAAGCCAAGATAGGGCACTGGCCTTGTTAAAGTGTTTTGCTCTCCAAATGCCCTTCTTTTGTTTCTTTGACTTAGCGTATACTGCTAGAAAAATTGAATGGCATTTGTTGGGAAAGTAGAATATGTGTAGAACCAGAGGGAAGACGAGTCCTTCCAGTTTTCTTTCTTGTTCCCATAGTTCATTCTTGAAAATAGCTGGGTATTACTCATTTTACTAAGAAGTTCTTTGAAATGTGTTGGTTAGCAGACAAATTACAGTCATTCTAACTAACCTGATAATTTGTACAAGTCCTCCATTTACAAACCCCTACATTTCATAATATTTTCATGATTCATATCTTTTCCCCAAATCACATAGCATCAGTCAGGAAGTGTGATTTATTTTGATCAAAATGCATGCACTGTAGTTGTTTTTAATCATATTTTGTTTTCTACAGCTACATCTGTCGTTTTGCTGATGGCATGTTAATTGAAGCAAAGAAAACACTAACATAATGCCACAGACTGCTTTATCAAACACTAACATTTTTCAGTTTTCTTAACCTCTCGTCGCTCTTCCAGGTGGATACAATAGTGACACTGGGTGGTCTGGCGGGCAGATTTGACCAGGCCATGGCATCTGTGGAAACTCTCTACCACGCTCTGTCAATGACACAACTCCCTCTGTTGATCATACAGGGAAAAAGCTTGGCATATCTACTCAGACCTGTGAGTATATACAAACCCACAAAACACCCACAATGCGTTTAGGTATTGTAGGTAAATAAAGTTACCGGTCCAGCTACTTGCCCTTAACATCCACATGCTAATGTAAAATTTCCCCTCCACTTTTTCTATTTTTTCTTTCTTTCTTTTTTTTTGCATTTTTGAGCTACAAAGCACATTTTCCTTTCATTTTTCATAAAGCTGAAGGATGGACTCTAGCTTTTCTTAAGCTGCATTATAAACACTACACACACAAGGAGACCTCTAGTATTTTACCCACACTATGCTAGCAGGGGAGCACAATGTCTCCCAGTTCTTCTAATCACCCCTCGCCCAGCCCTTCATTTTCTGTTCTTTCTCAAAAATGTTCTTTTCCTTGGTCTGCTTCCACCTTGATTGGAGTGTTGAACACGTTGTTTCTTTGTTAAGTAATCACTTCAAGAGAACACACACACACACACACTTCTCTGCTCTTATGGTGCCCCAATTTGCTGTTGTGAATGAGAGTGAGCGAATCTCTTTTGATGCTCCTAAATTGTTTTCCCTCAATGCTAACCACTTTCTCACACTCTTCTCACATGATTGAGTTTACAAGTAGGCTGAATGACCGCCATTTGGGACATGTGTTAGCCCCCTCCCCCACTCTCTCCATAGTCCCCAGTGTTGTTTATTTGAGAGGTCCTCGGGACAAACAACTAACAGTCACTCACTTCCTGATGACACCTTGTAACACCTTAAGTAAACCTCTCTCTCATACACACTCTCCCTACTTCTTGTCATTATTCCAAAGGCGTGTTGTCATTTGCTGCTTCATACCTCGACACCTCCAATTAATCTTACTTCAGTGAAGGTAAATTAAGCTCGTTTGTCAACGCAGCTCCAATTCGCCAGCGACTGATGAACGCAGACGCCTGTACATGAAGGTGAACGCAACCTTCGAAAAGCCCAGTGCTATTTGTTCAAGTTACATCTGTAATTGAAGTGTTTACAACTTTTGCCAAATATCCTCACCACACATATTTCGTGCAATCGCAGGTTCGTTAAGTGCTTCGTTTCAGCGTTTGGCACAATCAGCACATACGGAGTTCACGTTTTGTATGCAAGCTACACACCAAAAACAAATGATGACCAGAACTAAATTACATTTTTTTCTGTTTCACAAATTTGGGGATTATGTCACCAGAGCCAGCACATACCATTCAAGCTGCTCATAACTGCAGTGTCCCATTAAACGTGCACACTGTATGAAATGTATGAGGCATGCCTCTTCGTCTTGATTAAATCAGTGTATATCTGTGACTCAGGGATGAACTGATTTAATCAGGGTTGTGTCTGTTTGTTTTACTTTTTGTCTCCCAAATGAAGTGTCAAAGTTTTATTATGCTGTCTTTGGGAAATGTGCACAAGTCATGTGGTTTCTATAGCTGGCTCAGGGTGTCGCATAATTATGGTGTCTTTTATTAAGTTATGGATAGGGACACTGTGAGGGCTGCTTACAAGCTTGTGATTCTGTGTCCCTAAACACTAAGAGGATGTTTTAATCAGTCTAGGTCCCAATGTAGAGCTAAATTTACTCAGTTTCCATCTTTTAAAAAAAAGAGGAAAGTTGCATTGACTGCGTCTGCTTTATTTGTTTTTCTCTTAGTATCTGCTTTATTGAATCTCAGTTGGAGGACCAACCAGAGCCACATTTACTCAAATTAGCATCCCAGCCTATGAAGATGCTTGAGAAATCTGGCTCTCTGTGTTGTGGGACATTCAATGCACAACACTGTGTCAGCCAAATTCATGCTATAAATCATTCTAGCTTCTAGCACACACACTCGAGGTCAGAACTACAGGCCTGTTTACCTGATGCCCTTTCAAGGAGTGAAACTTGTCAGTGCAGTAGCTGATTTAAATGATAAAGTGTGATACCTGAGGTAACTTGTCTACCTTCTGTGCCAGAGCAAGTTCTGTACTGATATTAATAATTTAGTTTAATAAATATGAGACAGAAAATGGCTTCAAATGTTCATTGAAGTAATGCAGGGAGGGTAAGAAAGGTCCTTAAATAAATCTAATAGTATTCTTATTACTAATTTTCCCTCATGAGCATTTTCCTTCTGCTTCAACAGCTTTGTAATTTCCTGACCTTATACATCTGTAGAGTAGCTAACAAGTGGGAGGTGGGAGACTGCAAAGAAAACAGGCATCAAATATCTGCCAATCAGCTGTTAAATCTCAGAGCTAATGTGCAGACACAATTGAGTAATACTTAAAATAGTAAATTATTTTAATTGATGACTTTACCCAGTCATTAGATGTACTCACCAGCCGCTTTCTTAAGTCTACCTGCTCAACTCCTTGTTTAACGCATATATCTAATTAGCAAATGGCATGGCAGGAACTCCATGCATTTAAGGATGCAGACATGGTCATGACAACCTGCTGAAATTCAAGCCAAGCATTAGAAACGGAAAGAAAGGTGATTTAAGTATTTCAGAGACTGTTGATCTACTGGGATTTTCCCACACAACCACTACAAAGAACGGTCCAAAAAAAGAGAAGGAAAAAAAATATCCACTGAGCGGCAGTTCTCTAGATGAATGTCTTGTTGATGCCAGAGGTCAGAGCAGAATGGCCACGCTGCTTTAAGCTGATAGGAAGGCAGCAGTATCGTAAATAACCACTTGTTTCAACCAAAGTACTGAATACAGAAGATGATTTCTGAACATGCAGCATGTTGAACATTGAAGCAGATGGTCTACAGCAGCAGAAGAACATACTGGGTGCCACTGCTGTTAGGTAGGAATAGAAAACTGAGGCGTAGACTCACCGAAATTGAACAATAGATGATGTGAAACACATTGACTACAATGAAGCTTTTTTTTTCTTCTGTGATGTGGCATAAAGAACATGGACGCATGGATCCATCCCACCTTCTACTGAGGGTTTGCACAGATAGCCATGATCTGATGGCTGCTTCCAGCAGGGTAACAGACCACATTGTCAAATCATCTCAAACTGGTTTCTTGAACATGACGATGACACTCAAAAGGCTTCTGCAGTCACTTTTGGATGTGGCGGAATTGCAGATTCATATTGTTACGTTCCCCTGAGGGGTCTAGGCGGGGAGGGGGAAGTAACAAAAGTGACCGGGTCAGAGAAAGGAGTCAAGGAGGCAAAAGGGTTAAATTAAAGAGTTTTATTAAAGTTTCAATTTATACTAACTAAAAGAGACGGACAAGCCGCTATCACCATTTAAGAAAACAAACAAAACTCAGGCGTTGGTCAACAAAGTAAAACGTAAGCCAAAAAGAAAGAGCAGCTCACTAGCTGAAAACCACCAAAAACAAAGCTCACTAGCTGCAAACACAACAACCACTCAGCTCACAAGCTGTAACCACACTACTGGCACTCTGGCCCAGAGCTCACCTTTCCCTGGGCTTAAATCTCCTTAACTACTGACGAGAGTCAGCTGCACAAAAGGGAAAGGTGGCACCTCAGGCAGAAGAGGTAGTGTGACACGCCCACACAGGCACCTTCAGGAGGAGAGAGGCCCTGCTAGGGCCGTAACAATATGGATGTGCAGCTCATGCATGTTATACCAAAAAATAAAAATTATTTTATTTGAAGCAGAGATGTTGGTCGGAATTAGAAAACAAATTAGTAAGTATTTTGGTCAAAAAATCTATCTTGTAGTTTGTACAGAACATCACAGTTTCTTTGTACTGCATGGAAAGCTTCTCTTTCTTTTCATGAAATTCAAGCAGCATCAGAAAATATGCACCATCTGATTTAAAAAAGCACCATGCAAAATTACAGTACCATTATACACGGCCGACCACTGTGTTTATCTTTATTGAATTATGTGAAAATTACACCAGGCTGCTAAAAAGTAAGCTCAATCAATACCACACAATTCAGCCTGAGTAAACAATACAAGCGTTGTACCTACATGGTTTTTACATGCTTTTGTTGAGTGTTAATTATATATATTTAATACATTGGAATAAGAATGTCCTTACATAGTAGTTAAGTCACAGGTAACTTAACTTTAAAAATTAAGCTTGCCCCCTGACAGAGTTTGACTCCATGGTGTCTGTTTGTATCTTCACAAACAGAAAGGGCTACATTCTTATTCTACGTCAAGCCTCTCCTCTATATGTGTGTGCGTGCACATGTGCAAGTGCACATGCGTTTGCCTTGCTTTGATTTATTTACTGTGTCACTTTGACACGTTTACACAAAGATACTGTGTTTAAGTATAGAAAACATCCTCGGGGTTGTTTCCTAAACACCAAAAGCTCCAAAGCTCAGAATTTCCCCATCATTCCTTCCCTCTGGCTCTGCAACTCCAGGAAGCCAAGCAAAGAAAACTTTAAACACGTCAAAAGAAGGATTTCAAACTCTTAATTGAATATCATGCTGTCTTTGCCTGCGTGATACTTCTATCTTTTAGACGACTGGTGCAAGCTGTAGCTGTCAACACTTTTTGTGTTGGCATTAAACATACCAACTCAAGTGTTACGAGTGGATGGTGAATTCAACGTACACGGCAAAGGTAGCCCCGAAATGTATCGCGTTGATGGCACGTAATTGCTCACTCTGAGGCTTGTTATACTTTCCTGCAGCCACAGAATTGTTTATCAAATATGTATCTGTGTGCTAGAATGAAACTAGGGTATTTCTTTTTATATTTGGTGTACACCGTGGATGTGAGAAACTTTGTCTTGACCTTTTGTGTCCCAGCACCAGGCTTTAATATAACCAGTGCACTGAGACCAAAGTCATTATTTAGCCTGAAAACTTGGAAACTAGCTTGCACCTACACTGTGCGACTCCCTTGCTTTTTTTGTCACCCAGCCCGAGTTTTTCAAAGGGATACTGTGACATTTCAGAATTTTGTTTATGTTCGTTGGCTTTGTAAAGCGCTACATGAAATGTCACCGTGGCTCAGAAAAATTTCTTTATCCATCTTTTAGACACAATTAGGAAATAGAAAATTTACATTAGATTCTCTGCTTTCAAAGGCATTAATACACATTACAGCAGAAAGAACCTTTTTTTCTTGCTTCAAGTGAGGTATCTGTAACTCTGTAATTATTTTTGACTTTAAAGTTGCTTGTGAGTACAGTTATAGGTGTGATTAACAAAACTGTCGTGCCCCCCTGCAATGCAAAGAAAAGAAGATTATAATTCAAAATGGCTAGGTCTCTCTTTTTTTTTTTTCCTCTAGAGTAAGAACCAACAATTGGTCACAGCTTTGACAAGAGCAATAATTTATTTTAATGAGTCTTGGTGAAGAAGTTTCTCTGTTGGGGCTCAAAATCTTTAAGAAGTCTTTCCCCAAATTTAATTTCCGCTTTCATGTTTGTTTGTCTCAGTGATTTTGCACACGCACACACACAGAGTCACATAGACACTAATACATGTTCACACTAATGCTGTGTGCCATCAGGGCAGCCACAGACTGGAGGTGAATACAGGTCTGGAGGGGGACTGGTGCAGCCTGATTCCAGTAGGTGGACCCTGCCAGACACTCACCACTGGGCTCAAATGGAACCTGAGTGAGTCCCTTGTTGTCTATTTTTTTATTTTTATTTTGATGATTATTATTATAATTGCTGGCATTTGAATAGCAATCAGTCTTCCACTTTTATTGCTGCCAAACTTTTAGGGCTCCATACAATCTACAGTATGTTTGTATAATGTGTTTTATTATTAAATGAGAATACAAACTTAATTTATTTATTGCTTGCAGAGAATTTAAATTTAATTTGAAGTTTGAAATGTTAAGTGCAGTTGTGTTTATGTAGAGCCGATTCGCTACAAAACCATCCCCATGACTTCCATATAAGGCACTTTTCATCATACACACTATGAAGTACAGATGCTTAATTTGCTTCAGTCAAATCAAGCTGTGGTTTTAACTACTTTTAAGTGTTACACGTATGTTCTAATATGTGACAGAGAGCCTTTTATATTCTTAAATATTTTGTTGAAATCCAATCAGACACTCATCTGAGGACCCATGTGGTCTTACCCCACTCCAACTCTTTTGGCCAGCTGTGTACTTAATGAGTTGGCACAGAACAAACAGCCACCCGTAGGAGGGAAACCTGAACCTTCTGTCAGCGGGGTTGCGTAATATGTCTGCAACTCGGTTGATGTCCACTCTCGTTGTTTCCGTGTCCATGTGTATGTTTCTGGGAGTCTATACACTCGAGTGAGCAGGCGCATGTGTCTCCACTTGTTTTAAAATGTCCCTGTGTTTGAATATGCGAGCGTGAATGCGGACCGTGTGTAAACTTGTTGTTTGTTTGCACGTGTGTGCATGTGTGTGCGCGGGTTTTTTTTTAATCAGCTACTGTGTGTTGTATATTTACTCAGCACACCTGTGAGATGGCCTTCTGAATGGTAATGAGAGGGACTTTAAACATGAGAGTATGCAGATTAGCCAGTGATAACAAGATGCATAATTAACAACATGCATATTTAGAAGGATAGAAGTAATGATTTCCCTGTGGGGTCGGAAGGAAGGACCTGAATATGAAACAAAAAATTATGGGTTTTTTTCCCCCCGTCCTCACATGTTTTCCTTTTGCATGTATGAGTTTTCATATAGCAACAGTCAGCGTTGGGGAAGCTACTTTGAAATCATAGCTTTGGAACCTTCCAATTACTTCACTTGAAGACACTGAACTTCAGCAAAGCTACTCTAGGGAGATGTCTGCTTTGGTTATCTAAAGCTACTTGGAAAAAGTAGTTCAAACTGTTTTGTAAAGAAATAAATACTCTTTGCAGTAGAGACTATATTTACTCTTGGTTAGTAAAAATGGATGTGATTAAGCGTGGATATCTTTTTCAGGCTTAGATCAGGGATCTTGATCTTTGATGACATTGGGGATGTATGCTTGTTCTTTTCTGGGTGGCTGTAGCTCAGAAGCTAGAGCAGGCCATCTACTGATTGGAAGTTTTGTGATTCGGTCCCTTGCAGTTCCAGTCTGCACGCCCAAGTATCTTTGGGCAAGATACTGAACCCCAAGTCGCTCCTGATGTGTTCATTGGAGTGTTAATGTGTGTGAATGTTAGATAGAAAGCATTTTGGCATAGAGTGCTTGTATGAATATGTTTGAATGGGTGAATGAAGCTCATAGTGTAGAGGACTTGTGCTACTTGAATAACTGCTGTATGGAAATGTGAATGCAGCTAAATGCTGCTTCTTAACACTGGCAACAGTGAGTCTTATATTACCCTTTTCTTTCAGTTTGTGTGTTTGTATTTTCTGTGTAAATTTGTGCACAATTTTCATTGCAACTTGCTCGGGGAAGTCCAAGCCACCACATTGCCAGCCTCTGGTGACACTATGACTCTTTAGAAGTCCATTGAAATGATACTCCACACTTTGGTTCAAAGCATTTCTATGATGAAAAATATATGATCATTCAATAAAGACAGAGTTTTAGGCTGTCAGCCACTGCAGCTTTGCTGGCCCAAAAGAGACTCTTTTTTTTTTTCTTCTTTGCATCCAGGGGTTATTTTTTCTGTTTCTTTAAAGAATCCAATTGTTATCAATGTTATGTTGTAGAGAGAAACATTTGAATAACCATCCAATTATTCTGCAAACATATTTCTGGTTATTGTACTCCATGGCAAGGAACGGATTGAGCCGAAATACCCTTGGCCCAAATTAATATGATCGCATGCTAGTTTATCAATAATTGGTATTTTTCTGATGTCAGATAAGACACAGTACATGTGCAACCTCATATAATTGGGGGGCAGATATCTTGAAACACCAAGAAAATACATGAGTAGATATCAGACAGGGTTAAGAAAGAAGCTGTACTTCTGTTGTTTTCCTCAGCTGACCCTTTAAGATACAAAGGTCAGCTGACACCAGACTGTCAACAGTGGAACTTAGGAGCACATGGGTCAGTGCCCCATGGTACAAGCAGGAGGGAGATACTGATGGCAGCAAAGTCAGCTTCTGAAGGTCATGCAGAAGCGTTGTGTTTTGAGATTTCTGCAGGCAGTTTGCAGATAATCAGTGATCAACCTATAGCTTATCAGCTTACCCACACTTATTCAGGCATTTTAAAGGAAAGTAAAAAGTAGTGGTTAGTAAATGTTGATGAGGTGCTTGTCTGCAGACTTCAAACTATCATACAGAGTAAGTTCCATTGAGAAAACATACGCTATATGGACAAAAAGTCTTATTGCCGTAAGCATTTAAAATCGTGCACCTAGCCATGCAAGTCTGCCTTTTTACAAACATTTGTAAAAGAATTGGTCTTACTGTAATAGGATCCATGTTCCAGCAAGTCAGTTTGTGGAATTTCTTTCCCTCCAGGTACTCCAGGATCCAGCATCTACTATTGCAAAGTGGAAACATTACATACCAATGGCACTGTTGAGACACACACTCCATAAAAACGTCCTCTGACATTAACATCAGCAGAAAAGTGCACACAGGGAGCTTCGTGGCATGGGTAGTGCTGGTGGCCCACTTTCATTTTATGTAATTTCTTGCTATAATTTGACATTTTGTACACTGAATTGATTTTCCGCATATTTAAAACAGAATATTTTTACACTGATCACATCATATATACGCTGAAGGGTAAGATGGTGCTGGCACAGCTGGCAGCCTTAACCCAATTTCCTTCGGGATGAATAAAGTATTATCAATCAATCAATCAATCAATCAATCAATAAGGCAGACTTTTAATATAGATGTCTGAGAACTTAAAACTAGTATTACCACTTTGCAGTTGTATGCCTCTATGACCAAATTCCCATCATTTCTATCTTGGGTTTAAGAGGACTCTTTTTTTTGTTTTGTTTTGTTTTTGAGAAATTTGATAAAATTCCCATTTTTTTCAGCCGTTACTGAGATATCATGTTCACAAGATTGGAATGGAGGGAACCTGAAAATATAATAATTTCAGCCATGACTGTGGTCAGCACGGAAGAGTAAAAATGCTCATTTCGAGCTTACCGTATAAATTTTATACATGTCCATTCATTCAGCTTTTCATAGTGTAGCTTTTGAAGTGTGGAATGGCAGAAGATTAACTGTGTCCTCTGAGGCAGTTAATGTCTTTTGCCACTGTTGTGATATAAACTTTTAGTCCCATCAACTAGAATTTCAATAGAAAGAGTTTGAATGCACAAGCTTTCCATAAAGTTTCTCTGAGCCTGTTGCACAAGGAGGAGAAAAGGAGAAAGGTGAAACAACTATCTGCAATATCACTAAGGCAGAGGAAAAAGCCTTCAGATTTCTGTGGCTCGGAGAATGATACTAAAGGAGGGTTTTGGCTGCTAAATAATCAAGTGACTGCAGTGTACTAAATCTAACAATATAGGGCCAAGTGTACAATTTTATAATGAATTAAATTAATTCATTATAAAATGTACTTTGGCATGAATATATAAAATATGAAGAGAATGGAAACGAGAGATAGATGAGATGACTGTTGTAGTGCATATTGGCTCTCGTTTACCTATTCGCTACTTTCCTCCCCTTCACCTTCCAGCTTGCTCTCATTCTCCTCTTTTCAGTCCCTCTCACACTCCTACTATCTATTTCCCCTCATTACTAGATACTCTGACAGCTGAGCTTCTCATCACCTTCTGTATGTTACATTAATTTTCAATCATCAACTCTAAAATCCCCCCAGGGAAACTGTCAGTAAATACCATCAGTGTGTGTGCGCAAATATGCTGTCGTATTGCTGGCTGTGTCTGTGCATCACGCCGTACGAGCTTGTATTCGTGCTTATGTGTGTACATTAAGATGGGTTGTGGGATTTAGATGATGGCTAGAGGCAATATTCTGTAATGATACCGTTTCTCCTGAATGATTTTTAAAATTCATGTTCATATGTCACATGCTCCGACACAGTTATACAACGCACCCATAGAGTCTGATGTGATAGACAGGATTCCTGTTCGTGTTCATCTAGCCGGGCAAAAAACGTGGAACGAAAACATCTTTTTATTATGACATGTATTTTTAGTTAAATGTGATTTTTATCACCTCATAAAGGGGAAGCTATTATTGATGTATACATATACATAAACACTTAGGTCAACAAATATTTGACACACTATTGTCTCTGTACACCATCGAGCTATAATTGAAGTCCAGGGGTTTGGCCTGAATTTAAGGGGTTTGATAGAGGTATTGCATTGTAATTGTTTAGGAATTACAGCAATTTTATTAAAAGTCTCCCATTTTTATTGATTCAACGATATTTAGACAAACTACATATCAGAGGTTTTTTCATACTTTGATGAACATCCAAGGTCTAAGGCCTTTACTGCAGCTGCCTCCAGCTGCTGCTTGTTTGCTGGTCTCTGTCCACAGTTTTGACCTTTAGTAACCTAAAAGAAGGTTTGGCTGGGTTGAAATCAGATGATTGTCCGGTCTTGATTTAATCTGTCCAGAGATTTTTTTTTTTTCCAGAACTGTACAGGCTCTTTTACATAACTTCTAACAAAGTCTAAGCATGGCTTTCCTGTGATTATGGACAATGCTGACAATTATATGACTGCCCTCTCT